CGATCCTCTTCTGTCACACGACTGGACCTTCTACGGCTGTATCCGCCACCGTAGCAAGAATACAGAGTCCCAACATTATTATCAAGCAATACTTGGGAGGTATCCCCAACCCGTATCAACAGACCGTTACATGCTGCTTTCTCAACCTATAGATGAAGACCAAGGTTCGATCCCTCCACCCTGCATCTGACTAGCGGTACATTAATGCCTGCAAGGATGGTTCGTTGACGCTTGTCACTCGGCATGTGCAACCTCACAGATGCCTCGAGCCTCTCAAGAGTTGCCGACTCTCCGACAGCGAAGGCAGCTTGTACCTGCTTTAATGTAAGCATCTACGACTGCGTTCTCCGTGGGGAAATCAACATAAGCGATACCATATGCTTATGAAAGCCGTGATAAACTATCACACGGAACGTCATTCCATAGCTACCTCCTGACGAGAAGTTTCTTAATATAAAGATGGTGATGAGGATGATCAACTACACCCCACCCCCTGCGGACCTGTTGAGCATGCTCATCGAGCCACTTAAGGAGATCCTCTGGCATTGCCGTAGCAGTAGCAGATATCGTACACTTCACGCCATCAGATGCAAAGAACGACGTTTCACCTTTACCATCAGGCTTCAGCACACTAGAGTATCTACCCCGAGCAAGTCCTGTAATACAGCAGGCTGGCAGATATAGCCCTACTCGCTCAGCCAGCTGATGCCAGATCGTCCACCCAGTATTCCTTCTCTGCTGTCGGCAGTGAACTGGCGCCAATCGATCGGCGGGTCAATCGCAACCGTCTCACGGAGCTCGACCATCGGCTCGGATACTCGACAGTCAGCCCCAATGGCATACAACTGACGGAGGTCTTGAATCTGACATGCAAATTCCTATGATCGATACCGCACTGACGAGAAGAGTATATCCAAACACTGAAGGGGCCCACTCACACAACGATGCAGGTGCTCATCGCCGCAGCATCCAACGAGCAGTTCTCCTGTGTCTGGATTCCGGGCTACACTAGCAGCTGGGTCAGCCTGCTTTAAACGAATCAATCCCAATGTGAGAGCATCTGTATCCTCCAATCGGACTGGTGACACCGACACTCGAACCTGTCACCAAGCAATGTCTGATCCCACAGCTGCCAAGCCCACGGCGTCTCCAACGATTGTCATACGGGCCCTCTAGGGCCGATGGGGGTGGACGACCAATACCGAATCACCCCTCCCATGTAACACACTCAACCCACGTTGAGCAGGCACCACACGAATTCCACATTCTCGAGTAAAAATTATAGCTCTCGACA